ACTGGTTTGATACAGAATTTTAGACTAGCAACTTAGTCTACATACTAATAATCATCCTACTTGAAAACATTTTCTTGATCAGTTTGAACTTTAAAGAAATCTCCCTTGTTAAAAATGCATGTCAGTCCTTCCTTGTGTTCCTGAAGTGCAGTGCAGTGCAAACTGTTAGTTGTTGTCTACCCAAAGCGTGGGGTTATTTACCAGGTTAATCTTTGTGTACAGTAGCAACTTCCTTTGCTTATCTTCAATATTTACCATTACCAAATGTATTGTAAAAAAACTATTTTCCTTTTCTTTTTAGAAGTTGGTAAAAGCTGCATTTCTTCTTTTTATTTCTCCATTTTTTTCTCCTTTCAGTTTTATCTCTGTATGTGTGACTTTTTAAAAATGTTTTATCAACACCAGCATGTGATGATCCTGCATGTAGTGCACATTTTATTTGGGAATGACTGTGGCCTAGTGCCAGCACTAAAATACATTTGAAGTTTTAAGAAATAAATCAAATGATATGATGATATACTTGGCTCTGCAATCCTGTCATGCTTTTTTGGCTTTTCCAAATCCATTGACTTATTTATAAAATTTCCCATATGACTTGGCACTTGAATCTGCAGCATTAACGTAGTCAGAAGTCTGCATTCTGACCAAATCCACCTAGCAGCTGTTAAGAAAATAATACAGGATAATATTTTTGCCCACCTAACTTGCAAATTAAAGATGACATCTTGAAAAACCATTTCTCATTTGCTGCAATAGTAGCAATAATGTGTTCTTAAAAGTAAATTTGTTATGACTTTCCATAAACATCTTTAAGTGTTTTTAATTATATACATTTATTGTAAAATGACCTTTAGGCACCAAGTGAATACTTTTTTTTTTTTGTGTCAAAGTAGATGGTAGATAAGTGTTGCCCCACGTGGAAATAATAAAAGCCAGATTCCTTCTTAGGAATTAGGATGGGATTTATTTGAGTTTCGATGTCAGGAGAAAAAAGTCAAAGCACCATCATCAGAAGTAAACATGATTGTTCCTGGAATTCTTCTGAAAAAAAAAATTGAAAGCCAGAAATTTTAATTCTTTATATATATAAATTTTGCTGTGGCCTGTGCAGGTTTGTTAGAGCTAAGTGCAACAGAGCAAGACTGTGTTATGGTTTGGAAATTAGGCAAAAAATAACCATTTTGATTCTCGTAGGATATTTTGATCTTCGTAGCATTAGACAAAAAGATATGCTCTAAAACAGCAGCATGTAGTGGTCACTGAACATACCTTTCTGTGTGATGCAATCCTTGATCTACAAAGGTTAGAAATACAGCACGTCTTGCAGAGCTTTAAATACTAAACTGTGTTTGGCAGCTTCAGAAAGGAAATCATTCCTTTACTAGCCATCTGTCTCTGAGGCAAAACCAAAAATATTCCCAACTTATATAGGCAGCTTATAGTAAAACTGCTGCTGAGTTGGGCTGTCAGTTTACCTTTGTGAGGTAAGAACGGATCTGGGTCAAAACTCCTCAAAAGTGGTTGTGCTCCTGCCCTTTGGCTTGGGGACAGCAAGTGACAATAGAATTCTTGAATTACCAAGTGAAAGTTATCCACATACCAGAAAGGGCAACAGTGATGGATAGAGGACAGAACAGGAATGCACAGGGAAAAATACAGGGGTGATGCTCAGGGGAGCTAACCACTCTCTTCTGACTGATCTTAGCAGCATCTGGGGCACTGGATGCATCTTGACCTGTACTTTACATAATTTTTATAAAAAGTTTTATTTATAGGTTATATATATATAATATATATATGGTGTATGTAGCCTGTATATAGTTTATATGTAACACGTGTTGTGCAGTGCTTTACTTTTCTTTGTCTATGGGAAATTGCCAGAGTTAAATGGCAGTTTTCATTGTCTGTCTAACATTCATGACATTGTAAAATGAAATGTTATAGAAGATGTTATAGATAATAAATAAAAAATATAGATAATAAATAGATAAAAAATAGATCTGTATCCTTAAGGAACCCAAACAACATTAGCAGTGTCCTGGGGTGCCACCATATAATAACTGTTTTCGTCTCCTGAATTGTTTGATATGCTGAGAGAATGCATGCTGGATAGAAATCTAAGCTACTCCAGATACCTCTTTGCTTGTTACAACTGCAGCATAAACCAGAATAACCTGGCTAGAGATTGTTATGCATGAAGTAGAAATGCAAATAAAAAAAATCAGTTTTTGAAAGGTTTAGAGTACCTTCAAGTGTGATTTACTTAAATAATATTTAGTTATTTAATTACTTACACTCTCACATTTTTCTTCATGCTGTACAGTACTTTATTGCCTTACTGGAAAGGCTATGAAGATATTTTCTTCCAGCATGGAGTCAACTACAAGTTACATAGAAAATGAGCAACAATTTATTTGTCACCCTTTTGTAATTGTTTTGCAGTGAACTTTTCATACTATATAATTGAGTACTAATCCTAGTGTTGTTTGAGGATTTCTGGTAAAGTGGCAGGTGTTGCATCGGCTTCTCTTTCAACTACTGTGGGTTACTCTTTCTCCACTTAAAAAAATCTCTGGAGTGAGGAAGTCTTGAGTGGACAGAGTGTTTTATCCTCTGCCTATTTTACAGCAAGATTTTGTGACCTTAAGACAGTTCCCAGAGGGTGAAGCATGAGAAGTGCTCTTGGCTGTGTTGATGTTGAGGAGGCAGGGACCAGTACCACATCAGGGGAAGGGGAAGACTGTGGACACTGCTCGTGACAGGGATGAACTGTGTCATTTCTTGGAAGATGTAAGTGAAGAAAGAGAAGCAAATTGAATAGGCTTTGGCAGTGGTCCCAAACAGGTTGAGGAGGAGAATTAGCCACATTAATGATTAATGATTGCAAAGCTCATTCAGCTCAAAAAGTACTTTCTATAAGTGCTAAGTGCTGGCATTAAAAATGTATGCATTTTCATTTTAATCCACACTTGGCGTCTGCAAATGGAGAGGAAAGGGAAAAGCCAGCAGGGTCATTATAGCAGCACTAATACCCCACTACAGCTGAAATTACAGTTTGTCAAGGCACACAACCTGGGATCTGGGTCTTGCAGAGCTCAGCCTGTGGTGGTTGCTGCCCGTGGTTCTCTTCAACTGCTCCACCAGCTGCCTTGAAGAGCTTAAAATGAAGGCTTGGAAACATGCAAATCAAACATTTACTAAGTGAACAGTTGTCCTTATTAAGTCCCTATTGAAAGACATAAACTACAGTCTGTCACATACGGATTTCTCTACCCAATTAAAAATTTTTAAGGTGTCAGTTTTCTGTCTCCTTTCTTTTTCAAAAAATAGACCTGTTTTCTCTACTGAGTAGGAAACACAAGGAAAGGGGATTGTAACAGAAATTATTTGTTGTGCTATCAAGGTGGTGGCATGTTGCTACCAGAAAAGCTGTGGACCAGAGCAGCAAAGACTGCGTGGGCAGGAAGTGAAGTTTTTGCTGCAATCAAGCTGTGAGCTCTAAAACTGAGAATGTTGTGTTAATACAGGTCTCTGAAAGGAACTGAATAGACAAATCAAGAGGCAGAAGAGAAGAATAGGCTCAAAGTCTGGACCTTAACAGCTACAAGCTGCATGCTTGAGAGTTAGGCTAAAAGGTGCTCATTGATGGCGTGGCTAGAAGGAAGAAACAGTTTTGTGCTCTGATGTGCAGTTAGGTACGCCAGCCTTGGCAAGGTCAGTGCGACCCTTTGCCTTCCTAGGCTGGTGGTGAGTCAGCAGCTGCATACGTTTTGCAAGTGTTTTGTGGAAATGCTAACTGAAGTCCCTGTTTTGCCAGTTTGCGGCAGAGTATGTAATTGTTTTTGCCTCCTACACAGCTGGATGCTGAGCTTGTTTCATATCTTCATTTCACTCTGCTGTTGGTCTAGCCTTTCTCTTTATTCAAACATCTGGTAACAGGGAGTTAGGGGACTCCTGTAGTTGATTTACCACTGCCAACTGAGCTCACAAGCAGGGAGAGAACACCGTGGGGTGACTGACCTGCTGAGAAGCAGACCCTGGTTTACTCTTTCTGTGTAATGTTGGGCTGGTGGAAGTTGTAGAGAGAAGAGTCTCTCTCTATCATTCCCTTGCCTTCCCAGCAGACACTTATGCATTAGTTCTCACCTTCATGTGGGAAGGGTGGAGGTGGAAGGGGGTTGTTGCTCTTCAAGAATAACAAGGTTTGGTCTTAATTTGCCCTTGGTCAAAAATACGCCTTTTTTTTATCTGTTTTGTTGACAGCCGCGCTGCACGCTGCTGTGTCAGAGGCTACATTTTCAGTTATGACTTAGGTAAAACACTGTGGTTGCTAGGGGAGAAAAGTATTAGTATTACCAATATTTATTATTCAGTCCCCATGGAAACTGTAGTTCTTTGGGGAGTCCTAATTCTCACATTTTTCCTTCCTATGGAAAAGATATCTCTTTAACCGTGAAGTTCAGATGTTATTTTCTAGAACAATGAAGGCAAGATACACAACTCCCTTTGTGTTCTGATATGCTTGACAGATGTTTGTCTTTGAGTAGTTATTGGGAGTTACTGCTTACTAAGCTATGTTGTGGCTTCCAGTCACAAGGATTTTTGGAATGTCTAATTTTATCATGATGATGTTTTATTATTTTTTCCCTTCCTCTTTGCTCCCTGTTCGATTTGTCCTTTTTCCCACTACTGTTATTTTTTTAATTTGCGGCATATTTGAATTTGATGAGGAGTTATTTGGTTAACAGTTGGACTCAGTGATCTTAGGGGTCTTTTCCAACTCAAGTGATTCTGTGATTTGATGGGGAAATGAACTTTACTGTTTTCTGCTTAAAGGTATAACTGTGGCAAAAGCTGTAAAGCCCATGGCTGTAAAAGGGACACCATAGTACCTGTTTTTGCGAAGTTTGAGTTCTTCCAATTGTCAGAGGAAAGCTGTTAAAATACTGAGTGATTTATTCTTGGTGGGATAGTGAACTCTGTCTTTGGCTGTCTTACAGTGCCTAAAACAGTATGTGGAACTGTTAATCAAAGAAGGTCTAGAAACAGCAATCAGCTGCCCTGATGCTGCCTGCCCAAAGCGAGGTCATCTGCAAGAAAATGAGGTAGGTACACTGTTACTGCAAATGGAGTGTTTTCTTTTTTTTACAGGACGTTTAAATGTGTCTTGCTCTTTATGTTATAGCTTCCATTGGTGACAAGACATTGTTTTAATAATTTATCAAAGGTCAAATATTTTATCTTCATTTGTTTAAAATTAGTTAGATTATTGCTGCTCCTAATTGGAAATTTGTCTTTGTTTTACTTCCTTCAACAGATTGAGTGCATGGTTGCATCAGAAATCATGCAAAGATATAAGAAGCTGCAGTTTGAAAGAGGTAACACATATAACACTACCCATTGAAGGCTGTGAGAATGGTATCATTCCAGAACAATCCTATAAATCAGAATCTGTCTCTGCACGTGTTCATGCAGTAGCATTGTGCATTAATTGTTTTGTCATCACAAAAAAAGAAAAAATCAAAACCCAAAAAGTAGTTGTTTCTGTTCTTGCCTGTGTGATTCCCAGAACTACAGCACTCTGGCAATAAACAAAGGAAAGAAAATTGCTATGTATTATATTGCTATATAACTAAGGGAGGGAGTGACTTCTGTTTTGAGCTTTGCTGTTTAAGTTGACTACTAGTACTGTAGGGGCTGGAGAAGAAGACTGACCTCTTTCACAGAGTCAACATTATCTCCTGGGATGGCATCTGGTGCAGAATTACCAAGCAGTTCTATGTGTAGTGTGTAATGATATAAGCATTAACAAGGTTCGTGTTAAGCTGACTGCATGCCTATCTGGATGTGGAATGGTGTGGTCATAGAGAACTTAAGGTTTTGCTGAGGGCAGGATCCAGCCTAGAAACCACTGAAGTAATTTATTTTTTTATTTATTTAGTAAATTATTTATATTGTCTTCAGTGGGCTTTGAAACGTGAAATGACTTACCTGTAAGGAGCCTTCAAGAAAGAGATGAAACTCTATGAGAGTCTTATGCCATTATTAATCATGTTGTCACATTAGGGCAGAGGCCAACTTGAAATAAGAATCCTAATGGGCAAGGCACTGTAAAAACACTTTCTAATGGGTTTTACCTCCCTAGTATATGCTGTGCTTAATTTGAAGTACATCTGAAAAGAAAAAAATCTCATTCTCAGAACAGGTTTAGTTCAGTGAATGAAAGTGGGCAATTAATTCGGACTTGTGAAGCTCACTTTAGTTTGGTGTCTTTAGTTTGGAAAACAGACCAGGTTTATGTCTAAGTGGGTAGCATAAATTAAAAGTCTCCTTTTGAAAACTTGTGTCTTCAAAAGCCCTGCCAGCCAACCTCAGCTGAAATGCACTGTTGTGGAAGGCCAGTCTTGTATACGCCTTTGAATTTTGTTCTTTTATGTCCCTTTGCAGAAGTGCTTTTGGATCCATGCCGGACTTGGTGTCCATCCTCTACTTGCCAGGCAGTTTGCCAGCTCCAGGAATCAAGCCCACAGGACCCACAACTGGTCCAGTGCAAAGTGTGCGACATTGAGTTCTGCTCTGCTTGCAAATCTAATTGGCATCCAGGTCAGGGCTGTCAAGAGAACATGCCAATCTCTTTTCTTCCAGGAGAAACAAGGTAAAGTATTGCAAAAGATCAAGTATTTAGAAACTAAACACTCAATTATTGAACAAATCGGATTATGAATAGTAAAGAGGCATTTTCCTGATGTTTTGTTCTAAAGCTGTTTCCTTTTCTTAGTCGTTCCTGTTCTTTTAATGCCATATTCCAAAACTGAATAGCTCTTGGCAACCTTGTTCTTTACCACCATTCCTAGCAAAGCACAAAGGAGCTGCTTGGGCCTTTGGCCTTTTGCCCCAGTGGGAAAATATGACATCCAGGCAGCTCATGAGCTTCCTTGAAAGAAGATCTTGTTACTGCTGCTCTCCTGGACAATGTGCGGGTCAGTAACATCATGCCAGACAGTGATTTTTAGGGTGCCCTGTCAATCATCCTAACTACTGCACTTTTGGTCCATGATCTTAAGTTTTGTTTCAAGCAGTTTCCCATGGCATACTGCAGCCACTGACTAAGAAAGGCTGTTGTGCCACTTCATGTTTGGGCTTTTTCAAAGATTGTATTGCAGGTCAAGGCATCAATAAAACTCTACCCAGCCTTGGACTTAGTTACTCCTAACTTGTCTTCTTTCAAGCTTTACTGTAACAGATGACTAGCTAGGATGCTGTCATGACAAGTTCCTGATCAAATATACTAACTTATACACATGCTTTTGTGTGTGCTTACAAGAACTGAAGCTCGGTAAATTTCATGGCAAGGTAAAAAATGTCATCTATTTTTGCTTAGTCTTTTTATTACTCTTAGTTAATTATTTCACGCTTTATTTTTCACTCCACTGAGTAAAAGTTGATTTTTTTTCATTATTTTGGAGCATAATGGGCCGGTAGCAACTTGTGCTACAATGCATTTGGAGTTTCATATGCATTTTATGGATGCAAAGCAGTTTTCTGTAATATAGTTGCTCCTAGTATAAGTAATTAGTGTATGTCCTTTTATCCTGCTGTTGGGTAAACCAATCAATCAAGTGTCAGTCCTGTTTTCCAGCAAACTGTTGATTACCCATCAGTTATTCTTGTATCTCCACTGGCAGTTGCTGTAGGAATTGTCATTTCTTAAAGTACATTTTAGTTATTAGTGTGCATAAAACCTGCATACAGTAGAAAGCTCCCCAAGGGAAATAAATGTTCTTCCAGTGTTTTGACATTCCTCTGTGTTCTGTTCACTATATGAGGGGACACCTGTGGTTTTGCACAGTTGTGCAAGACGAGTCAATACTGATCCTAACTCATGAACAGTGACTTGTTAGGACTGTGTCAACAGGGGCAGAGATAACTCTGGAAGGATGACGTGCCCCCAGAACCTTATGGTTCTTTATTTGGAGGGAAATTCCTAGGGAGGATCCTCAAGGAGGGCAGAGAGAAATAATCTCTCCCTGGTGCCCAATCCAAAGGAATATGGTCTGACCTTATTGTGCAATCAAGGGATTGTTCCCTTTTCTGAGAAAGAAGGGAGAAAAAAGGAAAATGACCTAGAGGTACAAAACATTTAGATGTGACCTAGCTGCTCATCTGCTACATTCCAAGAGAAAACAGTTTAATATCTATTAGTATCACTAGATAACAAGAACAGTTGGAAAATGTGGTAAAGAAAGTATCCTAACTTTTATGTAGACATTGTAGTCATTAAACACCTTTTCCAGAGATATGTTTCAAAAATAGTGTATAGCCAAAATATCTGAATAATAAAATTCAGTTTAATACTTGAATCTCTAGTAAGTTCTCTTTTTTTTAACAAAAAAGCAGGCTTGCTTTTGTAGCACAGTTCTTAGACAGTCTTCTCTAAACTGACACGGCCACACATCTTACTGATTTCTCACTCTCTCCCACAGTTCAGTTTTTAAAATGGAAGATGACAACGCTCCAATCAAACGCTGTCCAAAGTGTAAAGTTTACATTGAAAGAGATGAAGGCTGTGCCCAAATGATGTGTAAGAATTGCAAACATGCCTTTTGCTGGTACTGTCTGGAATCTCTTGATGTGAGTATATGCCGTGCACTCTGGCTCTCAGAAGCCTAAAAGTTCATTGCTTTGCCATGTGACTGTCTCTTTAGTGAATTAAATAATAGCTCACTAGCTTTTGACCACAACCCACCAGAGCTGTTGCTGGAAATTTGATAGGATTTATATGCTCTGTTTTACTTGTCTGACCTGTGTGATTTTAGCATTTGCTCTATGTGTGTCAGTAAATAATTATTGAAAAGTAAAATTTTATGAGAATAATCTGTTTACAATCTGTATATGGCAACTAACATGGAGGAGGGGCGTTGCTTTTTCTTCAGTACTTATTTTTCAGTGGTGCCCTTCTTGAAGGAGATACAGGGATGAATGTAGCAATGCTATTAGTCTGAGGAAGTTTTAGCAGATAAACTAGATTTGGTGTGTCAATAACAGTCAGATTTGTTTACCATTCACTGTATTCTGTGAGACAAGAAATAGATCTGACGTAGGAAAAAGAACACAATACTCTCCCAACACGAGGAATTTATCAGTCTATAAGCTGTTGCTGTCATTTGTTTATTTTTTTTAAATCAGACTGTTCTCATGCCCAGGGATCAGAGTATATACAACATCTGTTTCCATGTTATCAGTTTTACTTTACAGTATTGTTAACAATAGCAAAGGAAGTTAGGTTCCCGAAAGCTACTCTGACAACTCAAATCCTGTGGTTGTCCCATTTGAATACTTTAATAATGGTCCTCAAGTCACTGACTTCTCACATGCTCAGATAAAAAGCAGCATTCCCTTGGTACTAAGCCTTCTGTCTTGACTGGTTTGTGTGAAGATGATGGAACTGATAGGGACATAATATCTCAAAAGTCTGTATTGTCTTCTATTCTTTAACTAGTGAAAGGAATCAACTTTGGGAACTTTGCAGTACAAGTATTCATTTTCCTTTGTTCTTTCTCTGTGAATGTAAAATGTATGCAATAGTCAGCTTATCTTCTTGGATCTTCTTGCTAAACTCCAGGCTAGCATTTAAATATGCAGCTTGAGAGCCTATATATCTATAACTGTAAAAAAAGTGCTTTGGAAAGGTTAGACCTGGCCATATCCTCCTGCTTTTATCTTCCTATTCAATTCCTGGTTTTACGTTCTTAGGATATGGTATTTTGTAACTTGAAGAATTTCTGTTTATTGCCTACCTTCTCATTTAATATTTTGTAGGATGATTTCCTCCTTATACATTATGACAAAGGACCTTGTCGAAACAAGCTGGGTCACTCCAGGGCATCTGTTATCTGGCACAGGACACAGGTAAAGCTCAGATCTTTAAAAGCTCTATATAGGTCTACTGCTTTCATAGTGTCTTTGCTTTACTCATTTTACACCTTGTGGCAAAATTCTGTGCTAAATGGTAACTGATTTTCATAGCAGATGTAAAGAGGGCAGTAGCTTGAAGAGGAACAATTAGTTCTTCAAGAGAGGACACTCCTTGACAAAAAGCCACTGAGAACGAGGAAAGGTACATTTGCAGAGCCACTTTAGTGCCAGCCCTGATATGTTCTCACTGAACCTGGAGGACAAAGTAGGTTACCACCAACCATATTATTAACAGGAAAGCTCTTCTTGCAAGGGATCTTTAGGTCCGGATCCAGAGCTAGAAAGGAATTAGCCTGAATACAGTCTGTATCTTACTATGGACTCCATTTGACTCATTCATGTAGGTTGAATAGAAAGTAACCCTGAAAGTTTATCAGTAGTTTCAAATACAGATTAAAATTGACTATTGCAAAGAGTGTGGGAATAGCTCTTGTAGTCTAGATTCAGTGTGGCTGGACTCAGCAGGAATGCAGTATAAATGCTAATGCGTGATTTGGTCCAATCTACTGCCTGTACAGTCACTTCAGAGATATAGGGACATCTGTGTATCTGAGTCATCTCTTCCTAAACTGTGTGCCTGTAAAAAGCTACCGTAACTTGAGATGAAGTACTTTTCTTGAAGTACAGATTTCTTTCCATTTGAGCATGAGGCCCAAGTCTATAGAATAACCCTCAAGTCTGGACAAACAGCTAAACTGAAATAAAAGGAAAAAGGTCTCACACCTCACCTTTTACATGCACCACTGAGTGACTGAGCTATGGACTGGGTTTTGCTTGGCTTAGCCATTGGTATCTTAGGAAGTGTATGGGTACATTAAGCTTACTTGATACACCTGTAATATGAGGCAATTAATCTGATAGTTGGAATCTGTTCTAAGCCACTGCAGTTTGTGCAAATATGTTTAATACACAGTATGTTTGATCAAGTCATTGTTGAGAAAGGAAGTGATCATTCTCTAGCAGTCAGGATATAATTCTGCTGAACCCACTAAAGCCAAATCAACACTGCAATTGTTTCCTTATGTTAAGTTTCTTTGACTAAGTTGTTTATTCTTAGATTTACCCAAAGTAAATTGAGGTGAGCCTTTGATTTGTTGTTTGTGGGTTTAAAAAAATATTGGTTTTGGCCAGAGGAAATGACTTGATGCTAAATAAGGCAGCAATGTCTTCAGAAGACGAACAACCAAGTAGAAAATACATAAGTAATACTCAGCAGTCAGTTTTATTTAAAAATAAACAAATGAAAAGCACACACGCACACCCCAAAAAAAACCCACAAAACCCCAACCAAACAAAAAGAAAACCAATACAACAAACAAAATGAAACTTGATGATTTTTTTTGATGGCATATTGAGGCTGAAAGGAAGGTGTGTAAATAGATATGTAATTTTAATTACCAGTAGTCAGTCTGGTCCATTGAATTGCTTACTTCTAGCTTGGCTCTGTCTGACCACTGCACTCAGCCTGCACTGCAAAGAGCTAGACAAGGGCATGCTGACTCCAAAAAGAAACACAACAATAGTTGCAGCTTGTGTTTTTTTAAAGATGAGAATTTAGCTTTGGTTTATATCTGTGAGAAATAATGCAAAGATTAGTAAATGGAAGTTGCAGCCAATTGTCAGCGCCACAAAAAAAAAAAGAGTTATGAAACATGCCCACCTCTGAAGCTGAAAAAGAAATTGCTCTTGGGAAGAAATAAAATTGTTAGGGCAATGAGGTTCGAGCTGCATATCCCTGGACAGCCGGAATCCAGGAGTGCCGGAGCCAGGGATGGTGAGCGCTGTCCCACAGCGCCATCTCCCGCAGGCACCTGGCCCTCTCACTCTGCCGGAATTCCCGGAGTGGAGTGATGACAAAACGATGTGCAAGATAATCAAAATGCGAAATTGCCCGTGGCCAGCAAAAGTGCTGGTGGATTGTCCCATCTATACGATGGCCAATTAAATATTTGCCAGCTAATTGGAGTGGCGTATCTAGCGCTGACTTAGAAGAATTCTTAATGAATGCTGCACTCTTAATTTCATTTTACCTTCTGTTGTGAGATTTTGCTAGCAAATTAGCATTCCACTCCTGCCTTCATTATTCAAAATTATTCACAGGCACTCTTATGTGAATAAATCTAAATTATTTTCTCAAATAATTTGTGGCCATATTGTTGCAGCATCACTCTTACAGCTGCCTATGGCAAATGAACTTTCTCAGGCAATGAACCTCAACTTGAATGTTTTTCTAAATAATTTTCCAAATTTCAACTTTGTAGAAGTTATTAGTTTGGCACACTGACAGGATGGGTGAGTCTGTGGTCCTCTTCCCATGCTGGGAAGAGGGCAATTAATAAATGTCAATGAAAAAATGCTTTTAGAAAGAGTTAGGTCTTGTCCCCTGAAGCAGCAGGATGAACTTAGGTCTGACTGCAGAAAGCCATTGCATATGCAAAGTCCTCCTATAATCTGTAGTGTTTTTAATCTGTGACTGAAATTTCTAAGCTTTTGAGTGGTCATTTGTTTCATTAGTTGTTTGAGATATAGGAAAACTCAAAAAGGCAAATAGCCATCTGCATCACACTTTGTGATGGAACCGAGTTGCGTGGCGTGGTTCTGACTGGAGCCATGAAACACGAACGTTCTGCTTTCCCTCGCATTTACTGGTCACAGGAGCTGACTGCAGTGTACACCTGGAGCGAGTCCTGGCTCTGATAAGGTCAATGGCGTTTGCTGACGTCTTTTTGACAGACACTGATGATACACTGGTGTCAGCAGGCACAGAATCTAGGCAATGCTATCCCTGACACAATGTTATCCCTTTTTCTTACAGGTGGTAGGAATTTTTGCAGGATTTGGTCTTCTACTTTTGGTGGCCTCCCCTTTCCTTCTACTTGCTACACCATTTGTTCTGTGCTGCAAGTGCAAATGTAATAAAGGAGATGATGACCCTCTACCTAGCTAGACTGGGAAAAGATTGGACTCATCATAACACGTGTTTTTATTTTATTGTGCTGTTATGTTTCTCTCTTGCACTTACATTACTGTAGCCTTACTTGCCCCGTTCTGCTTTTCATTGACACACAGTCTTGGTTCCAGGAACTGTTGTTACTACTGTTATATAGATTACTTGATAATAGACAAGGAGGGTAACAGAAGGCAAGTTTGGTGCTAAAGGGAGACCATGGACCTGGGTAGCTACCTGAAATCAAGAGGTGATACTGCTAAAAATAATGCAAAAAGTTGGTGCTGCCCTGCCAGTGGACTGGGAACTGTACTGAACGACATCAGCAAAACAAGTGAAAAAGCATACAAATATAAACTTCGGCATATCTGTTCGCTTCCAGATTTGGTGTCTTATTCCTGTATATATTTAAGTTGCCTATCATTTAAATCAGATAGTCAACTTAGTGTGACTTTATTATGTTTATTACACATTGTTTTTGTTAAAGCCATCACAATGTCCTTTCTAGTACCTATTCTTCCAAGTATAATAAAATTAGTAAGGTGCATATAGGCCATCCTATGCCTTTCTTGAAATTTGGGGAGGGTTAGAGGGACAAAGTTCATCCTGCTGCCTTCCACAAATTTTGTCAAGTCTTATAAGAAATTCGTTTGATTAAAAGCTACATTTTAAAATTAATTGATGAAGCTGTAAGGTTGAGTGGTGACACAAACCTGCTATCTAATCAAGGTTCTTTTAAAAATGCATTGATGGTATTGATTACCACTGGACCACTAGTGTTTTTCTGAATTGTTATTTTTTGCTGTTGTTTAGGGTTCTGCTACACTTATAGGGCTACATAACTTCTAATCCAGGTATCTTAATCTTTTTATAGATACATAGATATAGATATATATAATCCTATTTAAACCAAATGTGTAAATAGCTGTGCTATTGAAATATTTTTGAAGTTCAGGATATATTGCTTCTGTCTTTAGGACAATTATTTAAAAATACAGGACTAACTTTAATATTTAGCAGACTCTTGGGTTATCAATGAATCTTCCCTTTTAAATATAAAAATACATCATGGTTATCCCTGTATAATTATCCCTGTAATAATAAAATGCCTGGGATATATGTGGAAGTTCTACTTTACATTTAAACTACTTAGCCCATTTCAGAGTTAATCTTGTATGGTATGTGGTGTATTGTGTTAATAACAATACTGTAACAAAATAAGGTTTTATTTGAAAAATAATCACTTGATAGTTTTGCAGTATTCAGTGCTGTGTTTTCAGGGTAGTAAAGTGTGCTAGCCAACATGCTACATCATTGTGGTTTCTCTTTAGAAATATTTTATTGAAAACCATTTTGCTTTGATTGTAAAACCTACAAGAATTTGACTCATAACTTCTTGCCATGAAATATGAAGCACCTGAAACAATGTGTATATCTGTAATACTGAAGGAAAACATTCTTTCGACTGGCTTGTGGACTGAAGTCTGACTGCATTTTTGTCATCATCATTTAGTTCTGTGCGTCAGCAATGTACTGAGGTGAATGGATATCTTGAAGCCAGAATAACTTTACACTGAAAATGTCTTAAGACCCTTAAATGCAACTACTTGTGTCTGCTGTCACAAACTGGGAATGTGTTTTCAAAACTCAAGCATAAAAAATTGCTCTTTAGCTTTTGTTTTACAGTCTGTCTGTTAATAAAAATACTGTAGGGCGCAGTTTTGAAAAGGGCCACTGTCTTTTTATAAAACTATTTTCCTCCCCCTTCTTCCAGGTTTAATGCTATTCAAATTCAAACTCTGTCTAACCACAGATTTTACCTCTAGGAGCTGGAGGTTATCTGTAGTTCACTTATTTGGCTTGATTTTAATGAGTTCAGCCACTAAAATGTGAAGAAAAAGGATAGCTGGTTTCCAGCAAATATGAACTCCTTGTGATATCTTCAGATTGTTTATGGCAATGTGCAGTTAAGATCTTTTGTTACCTGAGTATTTTTAGTAGTTGAGAATTTGTTATTGAAAATTACTTTGTTCTTAAAAAATATCTGTAGTGAAGACTGGGTAGTGCATTTGATCACTGTTTGCCAACCCCTAAGGGTGTCTGAAGCACTGCTGAGTTCAGCAGGCAGTGAAGTGCTTATCTCCCTCTGACTCTGGTGTCAGCTCAGTCCATCTCCCAGAGGTATCCCAAGGCAAGCACCTGGGTTGTCCTGAGTCATAGTTTCACTGTGCAGAAAACTTTCTGTGAAGGATTCTGAGAAGGACAGCTTCCAGCAGGTAAGCTTGAACTGTGGCCTTACCTGCATGGCCCTGTAATTCTCTTTAACTGGAGAAGAAGAAAAACCTGGACAACAGGATTTAAAGATTCATGGGTTATTAATTTTCTAATTGGGGGCACTAAGAGATTCTGCTGTAATGTGGCTGTGACTCTGATGACCACATATGGGTACTACTGGGGTCATAGTAAACAGCAGAGGTTCAGTGCCCTGTGAACAGTATTAGAGTGTCCTGGTATGATGAGGTTTGTTTTCTCTATGCCTTTCTTAGCTTTTATGTGTCAATACAGCAAAACTTGAGTTTCCCAGAGTATTGTGTGGCCAGTTAATAATCAATGTCAAAATTAATGCATTTCCAAATTTAAAACAAAAAGGAAAGAAAAATGTCCTTTCCAAATACAGATATTTTTTAAATAATAATTTATAATTGATGCTCACAGGTAACATTATATATAATGGGAAAACTATGTTAGTATATCTCTGATCTCAACGCACCTGAATTGCTACTGGAGATTTTTATGACGCAGCTCTTATTTCACATCCTGGCTGTTGGGATAGACTATATGCCTACATATATTTAACAAATACCTAGTCTTTTCAGGTTTGCTAAATGTCATTCCATCTGCATGGGATTTTTTTGTTTGTTGTCATTATTTTTTGTAGTGCTGATTATTTGGTTTCAAAGTAGCAACTTTTGGTGGCAAGGTATATTCAGAGTGTTTTAATGTTACAGCTTATGTTGATACAGGTTATGCTGTCATTTAGGATTTTGCATTCACACAGAATCACAGAATATACTGAGGTGGAAGGGACCCACAGCAATCATCGAGTCCAACTCCTAAGCGAATGACCCATTCTTAAATACTGTTTTTAATGGAGTTTGTGACAGTACTTCATTTGCATGTTCTGGGTGAAGTGGTGTCATGTCTAGCGAGTGTTGAGTCCCAGCTCTAGAGGCTTTGGATGTCCCTAGGCTTGCCATTCATTAGCTGGGCTGAAGTCAGTCCTGAGAGAGAGCAGGAGCACAGCCCACATTAACTTCAGTGATGATAGCTTTGGGTTTTCCCCCACATTGGACAAGTCACTTATCTCCTTTTATCTCAATTTAACTGTCCTTTTAATGGATGAACCAGTGTTTGCCTACTTCATAAGAGGGCTGTGAGGGCAAATTAATTGGTTTTGAAGCTCTTCCAGAGTTTGGGATGAAGAATTATATATAAAAGCTTACTGTTGTTTTATGTTATTATTTCAGCTTTATTCATGTTGGCAGTCATCCTGAAGTCTCCTCCTAATGACTTTAGCATGTCAAGAATTTGGGATGCTTTCCCTCACATACCAAATAGTATGATCTTTCCTCAAATACTCTGGTTTATGAATTAGGCAAAATCCCAAATAACAGCTGACTGGATCAAATCTCAGCTTACATCTGATCTCCTGACAAAAGTAGTGAAAAGCCCTCATTTGTGGAGCTGACAGGATAAAACATTCATAGGTCAGAAAAGTATGAAGTGCTTTTTTTTTTTTATAAATTTTGACCAGTAAGATAAAAATTAAGTTCTGTGCATTTCATCTGTAGGCCTTTTACTGTATAAGAATAAATGTATTTAATGCAGGCCATTATCCCAGTGAAGTGCAGCATGCATAAAGCTTTGTGCAGGTTTGCTTTTTCAAAAACCAAAGTTTGTACATTTCACATACGTAATCTGAAAGCCTGAGGAAAACAAGTAGAATACGGTTGTTAATAAGTGATATTAAGGACATAAAAAAAGCCTGTATCAGCGCTTAGTTGCTAATGCACTTATACTAAGTAAGGCATGCTGTTTGTGTTTAGAGCCCTGTGGTCTTCATTATTGCTTTGATTTGTGTATCTCTTATAAGAATTTCAGGAACATTAGGTACAGGTACGTGGTCCATAACTGAACCTTTCTTGATCATTTTATCATAATGTATTTTAAACTTGTATAGGGATAAGCATGAAGGAGTCATGCATATGTATAAATAATGTATTTGATAAGTGTAAAAATAGTTCTGTTGATGTATTTGAAATGTAAGTACATTTTGTGCCACTAACACTGTGATGTATAAAAGAGCTGTTGAATGCCTTTTAATGTGGTGTTTTGTACTTTGAATCATACTGAAGAGTTTAATTTGTAATTTCAATAGATATTTTAAATGAGTGTGTCTCCTGTGATTCTTCATAGTGACTTTTCAGCTCTGTACATCTGCTAAAGAAAAGTACTTTTATAGGATTCTCTGGGCTTCTCTGCCTCTCAGTCTTTCAGAGCAAACACAGCCTGGAGACCTCCTGCAGCACTTCTGGGCATAACTGTGGTTTCTGACTCACCGTCTTCCCGTTTAGCTAAAAGAGGGAATCTGCGTATCTCTAGAGCTAATTTTACCCACAGCTGGGTCTTTGGTCCAGCTCCTGTTGCAGTCCACTGATGGACTCTCTGAGGAGTGTGTATATTCTTGCACCACAGGTTTAGATCTGGTGGAGGTTGCTGTGAAAAGCTTGTATTCCCCTCAGTTTGGTCATGCGGAAGTAAAACTGTTAAAGGCAAAGCTCAATCTCCTGAACAACAGAGCATAGTTAACTCTGACTGTGGTAATGGGCTCCAGTGTTCTTGACTCCACCAACAGGCACTTTGTATTTTGCCTAAATTGCAATTGAGGATGCAGACTTTCCTTCAGTCCCCATAGTTTCTTTCTCACTTTTTGCCTTTGTTTTTCTCACAATTTGTCTCTACCCATGAAAAAGCACAAGCACAATTTCTTCAAGAAAATGCAGTGCATAAATAATATGCATCTACATGCTTTATACTTGACAATTTTAGAGAAATCAGGGTCACATAATAGCTGCTACTCAGTCATTCCTTCTTTCATTTTCATGGAGCTTAATGATCTTTCTCCATAAGGGTAAGATCAATTTACATATTTTGTTCAATTAATTGGGCAGAAATTAGTCTATAAAAGCTACAAGGGGTTTTGACTTATTCTAGGAGCAGCTATTGGTAACAAAGTGATCTTTTCTTCTTGCTTCTGTAACTCCACCAGTCTGTTGCTTCCAATTAGACCATGTTTTGCACTGTAGTTTTCTCTAAAAGAGTATGATTATTTCTTAGTCACATGCAGTAATCATATAGTTTAGTAACATTTAGCTCCTGGGCACTTTCTCAGTCTCTCTGCCAGGTTCAACTTACCTTAGTGTAGAAGGATTTTCTCACCCATACCTTCAACTGTGTGACTGGGTTTCTGCACAACTGTCTGTCATCCGAAAATCAAGCACTGCAGAAACTCTTAAGTAACAGTCGATTGTCTAAAATTAGAACATTTAAGTTGAATTCCTAAGTGGCAAGCTTATAGCCCATGTATGTTCTAGTAAATAGTGTCCAGGATCATTCAGTTGCTGGATGTGACCCACATCTGTAGTAATAAGTTCTGCTAGGAGGGACCCAAGGCCCAGAATAACTCCTGAAGTGTACCTGGGTGTTGAATGGGAGAGTTCAGGTCAAAATCATGGCTGTAACTGTCCCATAAAATCGGAAAGATTTAAGCAATAGAATTGCACAGCACAAAAACTTTGCGATAGTTCTAGCATTCTGCTAGTCATAGTGGTACTAATGGAGATGTGACTGTAGAAATGGTATTGTGTCAGGTCATCATGGCTAGGCTTCACGAATTAAGATTTGGGAGGGGCTCTACCCACATTTGTATTGTGTACTCACACATGTATGGGGTAGTGCTAGGAATTGACACTATCAGCCTACAAGCACAGTGCATCCACATCTACAAAGCACCTTTCTTCTTTTTTTTTTTTTTTTTAATGGAGATCAACTAGGAAGTTTCTGATAAAAGATTTTTGTGCTGTTTTGTGCTAACTTGCCAGTTAGCCCTGCATCTATACCAAGAGTTATTTTATGCAGGATATAGTGAAACTGATGAAAACTTTTGTTGATTTTGATAATTAGAGGTAAGACTGTTTTATACAAGGAAGCCTTTGCTATCCAGATTCTGCACTCTGGAAATTATGATTCAACCTAGTATCTGACACCACTTGAGTATGAGATTTGTCTTGGCATTCATGTATCTGGCTTTAACTTATGATAGTGCAAAAACACATCTCCTGAGAGCTTTTGCTTTGTGTGTCCTATGGTTCTTACTAAAGTAGTTGTATAAACAAACTTTAGCCTCTCAAGCTGCTACTTAGGTGTGGGTTTTTCCTCACGCACTTTGACAGAGGAAGTCTAGACAACTGTCTTTGTCCAGGCATATAACTTTTACATGGCTAAAACTGAGGGAAACAGTCACAGAGTGCCTTATGGCAAGGACTGCTTTCAGATGCCAGGGCAGAACTTGGTGGTGCAAATTAAAACCAGGTTACTTTGCTCCCATACGGTGTTTCCAGATGAGAATATATGTGTAGTGACTATAACTTAACACATGTGGCACATATAAAAAATGTTTAGAAGCTGTATATCATGCAAACCAACTCAGACATGCAAGCAATGGAAGTGCACTTAAAAGACTGTAGAACCCAGTTCTTTTGTGATGTGTGACAGGAGAGAACATTGTCAAGTTGTATGTGATAACTGGGAATTTAATCCAGTATTCCTTGTTCTTTTGGTTTTTAAAGCCAAAAATGAAATTAACACTATAATCAGTATATAAATGCTAAACTTGAACCTAGATCCATGAAGAGAGCTCCTGGGAGTAAATTCTAGGTGTCCTCACTCAGTGCAATTTACTAAAATCTGGATCTATGTATGTGTCTAGCTGATATGTACTTTATGTGCAACATCTCCTTAAATGTCAAATGTGGCTTCTAGTCAGTGTACTTATTATATATATGATTACAGGAAGAAGAAATTCTCTGTGTAATTTTTTAGAGCAAGAAATCTGATCCTGGTGCAATGTAGATTGCCCATATTAAATAGACTGGTGAAGGTTCTGCGATATTTTTTGTAGCTTACGTGGAAGAAAGTGTATTAGGAATAGAATTAAATCACTTCCTTCTTCCAAACACTGCCTTTTTTCACCAAGTAGCTGGAAGAGTAAAGCCAACTGCCTGTAAGCTTGGGTGAGGCGGACTCCATCCATCTTTCCTGTGAATTGGATGCTGAGAACCCATTAAAACAGATTAGCCTTTCCGTTATCTTTTAGTGAGTTTGGATTTTCATTTTAGGTAAGCAGAGAGCTCATCTTGCTGTGTAAGAGAGCACCTGCAACAGAACTGTGTTTTTCTGACAGGATTTTCTCTGCCAGTGAGTTTCTTCAATTGTCATGATCTTTTTTGTGTGACACAATATGAGACTGATTTCACTGTGGACTATGAGAGAAAAAAGTTATATATCATTAATAATTTAGAAGGTTCTCTAGGCCTGACCTGCTCATACAAGTCTAAATTAAAGATGCTGGCTCAACCATTCCTGAGATCTCACTGCTGTGTGTTATTCTTAGGAACAGTTACAAACAATTTTTCCTCTATGCTCCCTCAAGATGGTGTTTTGGTGGGTGGAAGAAATGCTCGGGCTGCCTCAAAATCCTG